GCCCACCTGACTTAGTCGTGTGGGAATCCACTGATCCGGCTGCCCTAAAGCACATGCGCTCTCCGGTTTAGAGTGTCAGCTGGCCAGAGGTGTCTGACGGTGGCAGGAGGACCGTGGGTGCCTCCGCAGCTAAATCTCTGTTCCCTGTACAGAATCCAAGTTTAGCCTTTGTCTAATTCTGCTGCTATGAGAGGAAATGGAACAAAAAACAGGCCTGAAATTCCACCATTAGCAGCTTCGGAGTCAGACAGACTTTATACTATTTACTTTGAAAACACGTGGTGCTTGGGCAGCATCAGGGACTGTTCTAAGTGCATTGCAAGTAATCGATTATCATCTCCATGAGGAAGCCAGTGGAAAGAGCTGGTGAGCAGGGAAGCTCCAATTCAAGCCTAGACAGCCTGGAGCCAGATCTGCCCCGGCCGAGCTGACCAAGCTGCTCCTGACCCAGTCCTATCTGGACTCTGCCTGCCACTTACAACGTGTGCCTCCCTTTCCACATCTAAAATGAGGTTGAGGCAGGCGCAGTGGGTCACACCTGTAATCCTAGCACTGTGGGAGGCCAGTGCAGGTGGATTGCTTGAGCTCAGGAGTTTGAGACCAGCCTAAGCAAGAGCAAGACCCTTCTCTACTAAAAATAGCAAAACTAGCCCGGCATCCTTGTGGGTGTTTGTAGTCCCAGCTACTTGGGAGACTGAGGCAAGAGGATTGCTCAAGACCAAGAGTTTGAAGTTGCTGTGAGCTACGATGCCTCTATCCAGGGTGACAGAGTGAGACTCTGTCTCAAAAAAAAAAAAAAAAGAAGAAGAGGAAGAAAAGGGGGTGAAAGGTTGGGTAAGAAGCAGCCTTAGGCTGCCTGAACTTTCAAAGAAAGTTCAACAAAGCCTTCGTGAGGTCCTTGAGCCCAAGTCACTCCTGGAGGCCTGGGTCTCAGGAACAGGCTTGCTTTGGGATCACTGCCATGTTCAGTAATTGACTGCAAGCAGTCAGGGCAAAGGTCACAAGTGAATTCAGAGCACAACAGTTGGGGTCCTTGGTCAGTTAAGCTCCCTGAGGGGCACATTTCTTTTCTTTTCTTTTCTTTCTTTCTTTTTTTTTTTTTTTTTTTGGAGACAGAGCCTCAAGCTGTCGCCCTGGGTAGAATGTCGTGGCATCATGGCTCACAGCAACCTCCAACTCCTGGGCTCAAGCGAGTCTCCTGCCTCCACCCACCAAGTAGCTGGGACTACAGATGCCCACCACAATGTCTGGCTATTTTTTGGTTGCAGCCATCATTGTTGTTTGGCCGGCCTGCGCTGGATTTGAACCTGCCACCTTAGGTGTATGTGGCTGGCGCCTTAGCCACTTGAGCCAAGGAGCGCATTTCATGATCACCCCAGTAAAATTTGAATCCAGCCCTGTCACTCATTAAGTTATATGAATGACTTTATCATCTAACCTCTCTGAGTCTCAGTTTTATTGAAAAGTATCAATTTTCTTGCCTGGTACTTAGAAATCAGCGGTTAACAATCACTTCGGTGACATTATACATATATTGAAATATGCATATCTGTTAGTCACGCAGCCCTAACTCTAAATTTCATCACATATGATACTGTGAAGACTTGTGGTTGGATGGAACTAAGCATTTATGAAATTTCCCAAGTTCTGGCTTAAATATTATCTTTTTGATGAAGGCATCCTTAGCTACGAGTCAATATTAGTCACTTCTTTGTTTCCATCACAGAGATATTCTCAACACGACAAAGTAGGTATAAGAATCTTTATTATTTGAAAAATACTCTGAAGCCAGGTGCTCATGCTTATAATCCTAGCACTCTGGGAGGCCAAGCCAAGAGGATTGCTTGAACTCAGGAGTTCGAGACCAGCCTGAGCAAGAGTGAGAGGCCATCTGCACTAAAAAAAAATTGAAAAATTAGCCAGGCATTGTGGCGGGCACCTGTAGGCCCAGCTACTTCTACTGCTCAAGCAGGAGGATTTACTTGAGCCCAAGAATTTGCAGTTGCTCTGAGGTACCCTGAGACCGTGACACTCTACCCTGAGTGACAGAGTGAGACTCTATCTCAAAAATCAAAATGAAAAGTACTCTGAATTTATCATTGCTTTGACATTTTAGGCCATTTAAAAATAATGCAAATAATTTTAATTCCTAGACTATGACACACTAAATAATCTCTCTACTACAAAACTCCCATAAATGCCACACAAACTACAGATAATATTCTCTCCATGCACTGCTTCAGATTCCTCATGTGCATAGTTGAGATGAAAAGAAATGGATGGAAATCCCCAGAAGACAAACTGGGGAGGAAAGAAAAAGTCAGAGCAGTAAGCCCATGATCTGACCTTTGACTTCCCAGGAGAGAAACATTGCACCTGCTGGGCTCAGGAACCTCAGGCTTTACTGCCAGCAGTAAAGGCCCTGGCCTGTGCCATGTGGGGAATTGGAACTAGGCAGCACTGTCTCCCAAAAGACACACACACAAAGTCTACTCCCACAGAAAAAGAATGGACCAAAAAATGTCCTGCTACCACTGTAGAAGGGTACAAACGATAGGAAGATTCTTAGTCTTGACCTCAGCTCTGGGTGTGTGTAGGATGATGGCAGTGGGGAAGGAAAAGAAAATGTATAAATATAAGCCTAATAATCTTCTTTATGGACAAAATACGTGGATCTTTAATCTCTTTATGGACAAAATACGTGGGTCTTATGAAAGTTTTGAGATACACAAAAATCAAGCAACATAAAATCTGCACCAATGGAAACAAACGAAGCCCTCCCGGGGACACCAATTAGCCAGGCAAGTTGAAACTTAACACAAGTGTAAGGAATTTACACAAGCAAATCAGAAAGGACGCTGTCAACTGTGTTTCTTGTAAGTGAAATAATAGACCACAACACAGTCTGCCTCAAAACTATCATAGTGACCCAAATATACTTGATCCAGGATGCTCCCCAACTGCCAGCTAAGAAATTAACTTAGAATTTTGTGTAGGACCCTCTAAGGCACCTAGAAGAAGCAAAGGTAACTTTGGAAGGCAGGCCCTCAATCCAAGCCTCATGGGATTCCACATTTACCATCCTGCTGAAGATGAGTATATAATCCAAAAGTACAAAATGCACGCAAAAACAAGGCAGTCTAAACAAAATTGAGATCAACAAAGAAACAAAGTAAGCCACCTAGAAATTCATCTAATGGAACCATCACATAAAGTTTATAAAATAAATTTTAAAACGATTAAGGATGCAGAATAATGAATCAAACACGGAATAATAAAAGGATCCACAGATACGAATGTATATGAAAAGAACAACTAAAAATGAAATATATAGCTGTAAATGTGAAACTCAAAGGATGGCTTAAAGTACAGGTTAGATTAACATGAAGAAGGAATTTGTGAACTAGAAGGTAGATCTTTGGAAATTGTTTGGAAGGAGGCATGAAGAAAAAAAATGGAGAAAATAGTAAAGACGGTGTAAGAGAATATAAGGATTCCACAAAACAATTACTAGGAATCATAAAAGGAAAGAATA